GAGGGTTGCCCAGGGCTGTGCCAGGCTGCCCAGGGCAGTGGTGGAGTCCCCACCCCTGGAGGGGTTCCCAAGCTGTGGAGATGTGGTGTGAGGGACACGGGGCAGTGGGGACCTGGCAGTGCTGGGGGATGGTTGGACTGGATGATCTGAAAGGTCTCTTCCAACCAAAACTATTCAATGTTTCTCTGATGACCCTGCCTGTTGCCACACCAGCACAGCCCTGACACCAGTCCAGGTGCCCCAATAGACACCATGGGAAAAGTAAGACTGTAGGAGGACTAAAGCTACTTCAACCTCCCTAAGGCCACCTCATCACAGAAACAGTCCTCAGAGTCTCAGAGGTCTCCTCAGCCCATCACCTGCACCCAGCTCCCCTCTGCACCCAACAGACTGCACTGGGGGGACCTCCCAGGGGTGCCACCCAGGGGGAACACACTGACCCACCCAGGAAACATGGACACAGGATGGAAGCAGCTCAGCAAAGCCCACCTCACCTGGTCCTCCGTGAGGAGAATCAGCCGGGTCACCAGGATATTGACAATATTGCCCAGACTCGAGTCCTGGAAAAGTTTGGCAACCTGACCTCCAAGAAACAAGAAAAGAGGAGTCTTAAAAATGAGCTCTCAAGCTGGGCTGTGCACAGTTGTGGGGTGAGCAGACACAGGCTGGGCACCTGGCAGAGGAGAACGTGGCCACCGCGTCAGCGCGGGGTCCAAACACAACCTTTTGAGAAAGCAGAGCTGGGGATGGGAGCCCACCTTACCACCTGGATGGCAGAGCCCCCTAAATCATGCCCAGTGCTTGGTGGCTCCTTCTGGGGAGATCCAAGTGGTGCAGCTCACATCCCACCACCCCTGCTCCTCGCCTGGAGCTGGGGCGGGGACACCCCACGGTCATGGCCATGGGGACCCAGCTCTGCTGAGGGCCCAGCAGCAGGGAAGGACACGGCCTGTCTCAGAAATCTGCTGCCACACGGTGGGTGTTTTACAGCAGATGACACAGTTAGAAACGGGATTGTTTGAAAATCTGGCATCTGCTTTAGAAATGCAAACAGAGCAGGCTGTGAAAAGAGATCCTGCCGAGGACAGGACAAAGAGCAGTCACAGAGGGGCTTTCAGCCGTTTGATGGAGAACTTCCAAGCCTATCTCACCTCACAGGAGGATCCAGCACGGCCAATTCAGGCCTTTAATGCATCCAGCCTGGTCTCCTGCCACCAGCCATGACCCAAATCATCAGCTCATCAGAGGAAGCTCCTTTGCAGTAACCCAGAGACACGGGCAGCACGAGGGTCCTTCTCCCCACCCCTGGAGCTGCTCAGCCCCCACGCGTGAGAGCTCCCTCTCCTTATGCTTTCCCATGTGCTTCTCAGCTTGGCCAGCCCTATTTGCAATGCTAATTTGAGACGAGAGATGCTGCTCAAAGAAAGGGCTTTGTTCTCCAGTCTAGGTCTGGCCTGCAGTGTGGTCACACAGGCCAGAGTTTAACCTCTCCCACCATGCCTGCCCCACACAGCAGTGAGGCCCCACAGGCTCAGGGCTAACCCTGTGCGTGGGCAGCAGCAGCATGTTGGGATTTCTGACCCAAACTTCTTGCTCTGAGGATGGGGAGAGGCTGCAGACCTCCTGGAACAGATTTGGAACCCCCAACACGAGAAGGAGGTGGAGCTGTTGGAGCGTGTCTAGAGAAGAGCCATGAAAATGATCAAAGGGCTGGAGCAGCTCTGCTGTGAGGACAGGCTGAGGGAGTTGGGGTTGTTCAGCCTGGAGAAGGCTCCAGAGGGACCTTATAATGACCTTCCAGTACCTGAGAGGGGCCTATAAGGCAGCAGGGGAGGATCTGTCCTCAAGGGTTTGTAGCAACAGGACAAGGGGTAATGGTTTTAAGCTAGAAAAGGGAAGATTTAGGTTAGACATTAGGAAAAAGTTTTTCAACATGAGGGTGGTTGATCACTGGAACAGGTTACCCAGAGAGGTGGTGGAGGCCCCATCCCTGGAGACGTTCAAGGTCAGGCTTGGTGGGTGCCTGATCCACCTGACCCAGTTAGCTGGAGATGTCCCTGCTTATAGCAGGGGGGGTGGACTAGAGGGCCTTTAGAGGTCCCTTCCAACCTGATACATTCCACGATTCCATGTTTTTCCCACCGAGTCCCCATCCTATTTCTCTTCTTCCAGGAAGATCACCTGGCACCTCCTGCCAACTGCAGCCCTCGGGGTGGGGGGCACAGGCAGGATTTCCGCCTGCCTGCTCTCCTCCCCTGGGCTCCCCCAAGGCTCGTGCTGTGGTTATAACACTTACAATATTCATGATGGCCAGGATGTACTGCTCGATGTCCCGCCGCCCGTGGTACCCCACCATCATTTTGTCGGCCACCACCAGGGTCTCCACGTAGCGCTCCGTGCTGACGGATCTCTTCAGGGGCAGCTGCCCACGCTGGCTGTGGTTGCCCGATGGCTTCAGGGGGGAGGGCTTCAGTGTCCGCAGCCACCAGTGCCTCCCCTTCCAGGGCTTCTCATCTGAGGAGGCAAAGAGAGTTTCCTGTTCACCTCTAGAAGGGATCCAGCAGCACGCGGAGGTGAGGGGTGTGCAGTGGGAGCTTGGTTTGAGGGGAGGAAAGGAACTTGTGTCTTTGTGGACCACAGGTAGACACAGCTAACGCAGCCACTGCTGTTGGCCAGACCTGGTGAGCTCTTTCTAGAAACAGAGAATTGTTTGGGTTGGGAGAGACCTT